TGACTTAACAAGTGTCGTCATCGATGACATGTATGCGTACAATTTCTAAGCAGTAAATTTTAGGCAGTTCCTTTTGGCAAGTTTGCCTGGATTTCCAAACGCCTTTCAAGTTTTGAAAATCTGTTCAGTTGTGTGATGTGTCGATAATCAAAAAGTGGGTACAGAAGATCGCGATATTACAACTCCGAGCAGTGCGCGGTTTATCCGCACTCGGCGTGTTTAGTTGCGTTCGGTCTTTGGTGTTTAGTTAAAGGGACCCTCCCGCCTTCAAAAAAGTTAATGAATTGGCATAAAAGTGGTGTCCCTTGGTTCAGAAAGAGCGGAAACGAATATCTACCAAATTTCACCGAAAAATATTTGCTGGTTTTCAAGATATTAGGCTTTTACTTTTGTTTACTTTTTGGGATCTCCCCTGTTACTAGCGACTTTATTTGGAAGCAATAATTTGGTAGCCTTAAAATGCGGCAGACGTTGCGCGCAAAGCAGCGTATACCACCACGTGTTAACGATGGTTTTAGTCTAAGATTTAAAAATAGTTAGATCTCCGCTGACGTCACAAATTCTAAGGGGGCATTCCAATGCATTTGCCCCTTAGAATCCGAAAACTGCAAGTTTGAAATTCCATATCTTCGAATTAAAGCATTTTTCGATGTTGTGAGTGCCCAAACTGGTATTTGCAGGCCATGGCCACCAATTTGGCTATCTCAACTCAAAACTACATAATGTTAAGGTGGGAGTGTCCCTTTAATACTCACAAGCTCCAACTACAAACGAAACAGATCATGTTTTTCTCAGACAATGACAATATTTTATTATTTACAATAACAAAATAAATAAGACCAGACGTTTGGGCCTTCGTCAGTGGAAAATAAGATATAGGGGAAGGAGGGTGAATTGCGCCACCTTAAGGAAAAATGTTAATTGCAAGAAAAGTGCTGGAGATATAAGCATGCACTGGTAACCATTTCAAAGGGGAGCTCATTGGCTACGATTTAAGAGCCTCCCGATCAATTAAGAATGTTTCGTTTGCTTCTGACAGCTGCTTTTTCAGAAGCATGAAAACGGGCGCATTTGCCAACAACTGCTGTAAATTGCGCCAGGGGGATGGCGCAATTAGAACCCAATTGCGCCCTATACTTTAACATGGCTAAGTGAATGAGACGGAATGCATACACCCCGGCAGTCTAATGTCATTGCGGCTTACTTAAACATTTATAATGTTATTCAGGCTGGATGAATAATAAATGTAGATATAAATCGCGATGTTTTTTGCCCAGGTAGATAACTTTACATGTGTCCGTACGCTTGTAAAAGTGCAACGAAAACGTTTACTGTAACCGACTAGATATATGTGAACTTATGCGCCTATACAGTTAAATTTTCAATCGGTTCTCTCAAAATTAATAATTTTTATCGTTTTGACAACTTAATGACATCAGTTTTTACTTTTTTATCATAGCTGTCCTTTCTCACGCCTGAGTCCATGTTGCAAATGTCGTATTTTGTCAAGTACACCACTAGTCGTAGCCTAAATGGCAGTTGCATTATAAGTTTGACGATAGATATAATTTGCGGACTGACGACAGCGTGCTGCTCCCTTGCCTGACATTAAACTCCTTCTTTATTGCAATCAGTTAATGATGCATTCATACTGTCGTGATACAATGGCTTCACCATTATTCTATTTGCGCCCCCCTGGCGCAATTGCCATGGGCGCAATTAAAATTGAGGTACTTTTTAATAACAGCATAGAAGTTATCATTAAGATGTTGCAGGAAGTTTACGGTTTCAGTGAAATATAATGAAAAAAGGGGTTTTCTTTCTAAATATCACTCTGAAAATCACAAAAATAACGTAAATTTTTATAGCCAACGGTTCAAAGTACTGCAAAAAGGTTAAGAAAACGCCATAACATCTTTGATGGCGTAATGAGCTTTGCTGATTGGCTTCATCGGAGTGTTTGGGCCATAAAATGAACAATCCAGTGGTGAAAATAATGTTTTCGAACACAAAATTATAAACATGCCATTGAATCCGTGGGAATGTTGGTGGGCGCAATTGGTTAGGAGGGCGCAATACACCCACTTTCCCCTAGGCTTTACAATCGATAAAATATTTTATATTTTCCGTCCGATACCTATAAATATTTTATCAATTGTAAACCTATATCTTATTTTCCACACGAAGGCACATTGTTGTCCGAAACGTCTGGTCTTATTTATTTTGTTATTGTAATGTCATTGTCTGTGAGAAAAACAAAATGTCTAACTCTTCTAATTTGAAACAGATCATGATGGATGTTTATTGGTCTAAAGAAGATTCTTCGAAATATGGGATGCTAACACAAAGGTAATAGGTATACGGGTCAAAAAGTAGTTATGAAAATTCTGGTTAGCGTGTGGGCGCCGGAAGCTTCTTATCTATGCATCTTATCTATGCATGCATTATTATTAAACTGCTGTCAATACGAGACATTGGCCGTGTGGCATGTTTAGAGCGAGGGCGAGATGATGATAACAGAATTAACCCGGCACCGCCTGGGCTGTTTCCGTACCCACGACAGCCTGGGGGGTCGGATCCGACCCCCCCCCCCCTGTTATCTCGAGAACCAATGGTCGTATCGAGCCCCGCGAGGCGGCGTTCGAAAGGTCTCTACGAGACCTTCCCAAAGCACTCTTAAGATTTTAAGATTGAGGTCAACTTTCGGGTCAAGGTCAGGTCAAAGGTCAAATTCAGGGGTTTTGCATGATTAGGCTTACGGACAGCGGAATCGATAGCTGCTGCTCGAAACTCACCAAAAATGACCTCAAAGGCCTAGTGAAGGTACCATGTGTGTATAGGGGTCATACTAAGTACGGGTCAAGGTCACGAAAGGTCACGGTTTTCAATTTCTGCTACATGGGCGTGCGACACGTTTTATGGCTTATTTTTCACGCCGAATCCGATGGTAATGGTTATATGTGACCCCAAGTCACTGTGCTGGTGATAAGTGTGCATTGAAAGCATAAAAAATCGTTTATACTATACGAGGGCTGAGAAAAAGGTAAATTTTTCAACTTTTTATTTTTGACATAAAAATGCGCTTTTCTAGACGAGCTTTGTCCCAGGAATCTAGTGGTGCCATTTGTTTTCACATGCGATGTTCAGAAGTACCTCTAATTCACGAAAATGCTTATGACGTCACCATGCCCTATACATGTTGGAGCTATTTTTTACAATTTGGGGGTCAAAAATCAAGATAGAAAGTTGAAATTTGGGGCATCTAATGTTCTAATAGAGCTCTACAACATATACTCCGGTTTTTTGGAAATTCCCAAAATTTTGGATTTTATTAGCTGTTTTCCAAAAAATATAGTTTTTTGAATTTTTAGGGGTGAAAAACGCATTTTATGGAAAATCCGAGATAGCCATTTTAAAGAACTCGTTGAGCTGCGTCTTTTCATGTCCTTAATTTGCAATTTGCTTTAAACCCTGATTTTTGGCGATTTTTTAAACATTTACCACTTTTTGACTAAAAACGCCATGTAGTTACATCACTAAAATCGATATATCTCAAAAAAATTTGGAAATTGTTTCTTAAAAATTGCACAGGAGATGTCAAATTGATGGGGGAGAAGGTATGCCAAGTTTCAAGTAGATAGCGAAAGTGGTTCATGAGTTATTCAAGAAAAACGGAGGGGGGGGGTCGGATCCGACCCCCCCCCCCCAGGCGGTCGCGGGTTAACTCTTAGCTCAAAGGTGTACCAAATTCGTAGCTCCAGCAAACCAACGGTAACACTCGTAACGTAATTCGTCGACCGCCGTACAGGCAATGCAGAGCAGAGTCCGTCTGGGTCCGTCTAAGCGGGGAAGACTGATAATCGGGAACCCGGAAGCGCATTGTATCTTGCATGAATTAGGAAGGCAAGACGGGCGAGCGTCCCGGCCGTGCAGTACAATTTTCATCTCGACCAAGGGGAGCAGAGCCACAAATGCGAGTGCCCCGTGTACAGTGAGTGTGTGGTGAAAAATCAAACATGTCAGACGAGCCTGTTAATTAGAAGATCAATAGGGAAACTAAGAGTGAAATTTTATCGACCAAGAATGGAAAGATGCAAGGGACATGAAAATGATGAAACTGTTCCCGTGCAGCCTGAACCTTACAACAGACGGCGGGACGGCTAGAACCTAGAACCGCCCGAGGCTAAGATTCAATCAGGTTTGTTTGTTTGTTTATGATAATTGACATGATTGACATAACATATGTCGGGACTTTCAGCTAAATTGTTGGAAAAACAAACTGATTACATAGTAAGGCACTTTTTTAACAAAACAAAGCGAAAACAGAGTATCACAAAAAAATAATAATAAAACATGCTACATGCACCCAGGTCACGCGGTCCACGATGCTATTCCACTAGACAGCCCATCCATTAGAGGTCCAGCCAGCTCAGTCCTTTGGTTGCCACCTCAGGTCAGGCAGACTCGGACCCGCGGCTGAGGCCTCGGATCAGGCTGAATGCGACTCGCCAGGGGCTGAGTCTCAGGTCAGGTCAGGATGAGTTAGACCTGCGATCGAGCCTCAGGTCAAGCCAATTTAGGCCCTGCTTCGATAGGGCTGAGATCAGGCGGACTCCTGCTGAACCTCAGGTCACCGGCTCCTGCTGAACCCCAGGTTAGACCTTCTCCGACTTGCGGCTAAGACCTGTGGCTGAGCCCCGGGTCAGGCCGACTCCTGCTCCCTGTGAGCCCCGGGTCAGGCCGACGGACCTGCCGAGCCCCGGGTCAGGCCGACGGACCCGCCGAGCCCCGGGTCAGGCCGACGGACCTGCTGAGTCCCGGGTCAGGCCGACGGACCTGCTGAGTCCCGGGTCAGGCCGACGGACCCGCCGAGGCCCGGGTCAGGCCGACGGACCCGCCGAGCCCCGGGTGTGCGCCGGCCGGCAGCTGCCGGCAGCGCCGCGGCTACCTGCTCGTCTGGCGGCGCCGGCGGCCGCAGTCGATCTGCGAGAGCGGTCGCCGTCGGACGCACCATGGCCTCGCTCCTGCAGTTGGTGGCGCTCACCACGCTCTGGCACGTGCCGGCGCCGACGGAGGCGCGCGCCGCGCCGCCGCCGGCCGAGCTGGAGCACCAGCGCTGGGCGGCCGCCGCCTTCCAGCTCACCATCAGCCTCAACTGTTCGGCCGGCGTGCTGACGTCGCCGGCGCGCTGCGAGCTCCTGCAGCTGGTGGAGCGGCGCCGCTCGGTGGTCTACCTGGCCGAGCGGCCGGCCGGCGCCAGCCTGGTCACCGTGCTGCCCGACGGACAGCTGTCGGCACCGGCGGACGCCGACGCCGTGCTCGTCATCGACCCGTTCCCGGAGGCCGCCTGGGGCCACCTGGTCAGCGTCTTCACCGTCCAGAGGCATCACGTCGGCCCCAAGTGCGGCCCCTTCGGAGGCATCAAACTAGGTAGGCAACAGAGGCCACCGGGTGGCCAGCGCTGTCGGTCCCGCCGGCACGGCACGGGTCCCTGTCCCAAGCGACACCGGTTCCCTTCCCCAGCGGCACCGGGCTCCTCAGCCTGAAACAGGTCCATTGCCGTCTCTTTGACCCCATGCCCTCGGCAATATTTTAGTTTCCTTCGGCTGCGACGTCGGAGGCCCTCGGCATTGTTTTAGTTCTCTTCTGCTGCGTCTTCAGGTTTTCTCGGCGCCGCTTAAGTTTCTTTGGCCTGCGACCTCAGGCATTCTCGGCGCTGCTTTACATTCCATCGGCAGTGAAGGAATGTTTTGATTTGCTTTCCTTCGGCTGCACTTCACACAGATGGTGATTCAACCGACCAAAGTATCTCTTGAGTCTTGACCCATGCTGCCTTTATAGAATCAAACTATAAGTTAATCGGGCTCTGTTGAACGACTTCCGCCGACATCAGCACACCGGGAATAAAGGAACATTGAACACATGCATACGACATGATCCAGTTTTAAACGGATCAATGTGTTACCTTTCTTTGCTGCATGCAAGATAGAACTCTTAGATTATGATTTAGATGAGCATTTTGGTTACACTGCATTCATTGCCACGAAAAAGAAAATAACCATAACAATTGGAGAAATCATATTAAATATGGAAGCGTTCACAATGTACACCAGATATCGATAGAGATATTGAGATATATCAATCGAGATATATCTTTGATATATCTCTATCGAGAGAAAAGACACATTGAAACAAAGTTGTTACACAAAAGCTAAGTATTTAGGTAGGCTACTACTAAAATATTTTAAAGCGAAATAAAATAATTTAATTTAATAATTTGAAATAGAATAAGCTTTTAATTAAAATAATTTCCAAAATGGAAAAGAAAAATGCCTCCACATAATAGTATTTTAATGTAAAGTCAAATTAAGCCACACGGTAAAACCGTTAGAACAATTACCATTGAAGCTGCATAATCTGCTATTGATATCTAACTATAGTCGCGACATAGGTAGTTACCAGTTATGTCACTGATTCTATTGGTAAAATATATTCCTGCCCGGGGCCGGGATGATTCAATAAATGTCACCGAGGTTTTTTAGCGAAAACTCCGAGGGCCGTTAGGCCCGAGGTGCTTTTCGCTGAAAAAGCGAGGTGACATTTATTGAATTCCCGGCCTTAGGGCTGGAAGGTGTTTCCCATACCTGCCAAAAAGCTCACAACTATAATTGATAGTGACGTCAGCAGCCGTGTGGTTCAACACGTTTAACCACACCCCTTGAACCACACGGCTGGCAATATTAAAGCACTGCATTAAACTTTGAAAAGTGTGGTACAGTGCACGTGCCATTAAAATGCCTGGATGTCTCGATTTAATCATGCAATGTAGCAGGTATGGGAAAGCGAAATCACTCGCAGATCGCAGTAGCTAATAAGTATCATAGTACTTTAAAGTGTGACGGAAATTGCAGCTAAAAACGGTTGAACCACAGATAACAGTAGTACTACTGTTATCTGTACTACTGTACTACTGTTAGGTATATGTGGTTGAACAAACAATATTCATCTCGTCTGAACATACTGGCAGTGTTGTGTTTTCTGTCACCGTTTCATTCTATGACCGTATAGGGGAGAGTGGGGTAATTTGGCCGCTTTTTTTAGAAAACGATGTAACTAAAAAATGACAACACATTTCTGCATTTTCTCAACGCTGACAGGTGTGGCATACATTTTACTTTACTAAACAGTAAACTTGAAATGATAGAGTAACTACTTATATTGAAATTGTGACGTATTACAAAGGTCTGCAAAGCGGCCAAATTGCCCCACTAGCAGGGTTATTTGGCCGGGGGTGTGGGGCAATTTGGCCGGTGTTAGTTTGAGGCCATGATTTTTGTTATAGGCGAGTCAGCTTCACATTCAGCAATGACGCTTGTCCTAAGACGCATTTGAAGCATTTTGGAGGTTGACTCAGCCGTCACAGGGGTCGAAAATAGTCGAAATAGCGGCTCTAGATGCGATGACAGTTTTTTACGAATAACTTTTGAAGTAATCAAGCTAGGCCAAAACTAAAAGTACCATCGTAATTCTCTCGTCATTCCGCATCGAAACATGTATGTGTTTACCTCGAGAGGTCAAGGTCAAAGGTTGGCTTCAGGTCACGTTACCTCAGGTCGCTTGACCTCAAGGTAACGTGAGTCATCATGTCATCATGTATAGCATGTATATCATTCGATGCGCCTTGACGAGCTGAACACAATGAGACCATTTGCGCGGCTGTATCTTTTTTTCTGTAAGCATTTATTAGCAAAAAAGCGTTAGGCAACCTTTGATGACGTCACATGCCCTTACAGCTGTCCAATAGGAAATATGGCATCAAGGTAGTCAAAGTTGGTCATGAATCATGTCCTTTATGGTATAATTGACCATGACAACACGGCCGTCCCAGCATAGTGACTCTGAGCGCACCGGCCAAGTTGCCCCGCTAGACCCGGCCAAATAACCCCACATTGCCATTCTGAAAATTTTGTCTATAAAGTTGTCTCATGGCTGTACAGAACTACATGGAATTGTTCTTGGAACCTCTGAACACCCTTAAAGGGACCCTCCCACCTTCAAAAAAGTTTATGAATTGGCATGAAAGTGATGTCGCTCGGTTCAGAAAGAGCAAAAACGAATATCTACCAAATTTCATCGAAAAATATTTACCGGTTTTCAAGATATCAGACTTTTACTTTTGTTTACTTTTTGGGATCTCCGCTGTTCCTAGCGACTTTATTTGAAAGTGCGGCATTTGTTGCGCGCAAAGCAGCGTATACCACCGCGTGCTACAAAACGTTTTAGTCAAACATTTAAAAATCGTTAGATATCTGCGCTGACGTCACACATTCAGAGGGGTATTCCTATGCATTAGCCCCTCTGAATCAAAATGCTGCAATTTTGAAATTCAATATTTCCGATTTAAGGCATTTCTCGATGTTGTAAGTGCCGAAACCGGTAATTGTGAGCCAGGGACCCCATTTTGGCTATCTCAACCCAAATCTAATGTTAAGGTGGGAGGGTCCCTTTAAAGGGACCCTCCCACCTTCAAAAAAGTTAATGAATTGGCATGAAAGTGATGTCCCTTGGTTCAGAAAGAGCGAAAACGAATATCTACCAAATTTCACCGAAAAATATTCACTGGTTTTCAAGATATTAGGCTTTTACTTTTGTTTACTTTTTGGGATCTCCCCTGTTACTAGCGACTTTATTTGGAAGCAATAATTTGGCAGCCTTAAAGTGCGGCAGACGTTGCGCGCAAAGCAGCGTATACCACCACGTGTTAACGATGGTTTTAGTCTAAGATTTAAAAATCGTTAGATCTCCGCTGACGTCACAAATTCTAAGGGGGCATTCCAATGCATTAGCCCCTTAGAATCCGAAAACTGCAAGTTTGAAATTCCATATCTTCGAATTAAAGCATTTTTCGATGTTGTGAGTGCCCAAACCGGTATTTGCAGGCCATGGCCACCAATTTGGCTATCTCAACTCAAAACTAATGTTAAGGTGGGAGTGTCCCTTTAAGAATGGCGCTATAATGTTGGAATTCGTTTACAGCCCAAATACTACATGTTATACAAATTTTTAAACGGAAGTAAAAGTTACCATTTTCTAACGAAATTCAAGTTTTATTAATTTTGAATAAAACTAAGAGGGGGTAAGTTTTGACATTTGTCCTCGAGTTAGTTCTGCCGATGACAAATGAATAGACACCAAAGTTATTTCATTCACTTTTATCAGCTTTCGTACAGGTGGGGGCGGCCAATTTACACCACCGGCCAAATTACCCCACTCTCCCCTAACTGGATATTTGTGTCTTGTGGGGACATTAACCCTAGAACGCCTAGGGGGGGGTTGTATCAACCCCCCCCCTGAGGTTTTTTCGAAGTGCACGCTAAACGGCTTGTCGTAGCGGGCTGAAATTTTCAATACCCTCTGGGGCAACCTTTGCGCATCTTTTGCCGAAAAAATTGATCGGGTCATGTCAGGTCACGGAGTTATGACGTCATAAGAGGTACAGCCTCCGGCCGACAGTTACCAAACGTGTGCGCCGAATCCCTAGGTTTTCTGCCGGTGATACCCACATTGTTTGATGGATCATGATGAAACTTCCCATGCATGTTGGGGCAAGCATTGGCTATCGTTTGGTGCAAGAAAATTGACCGGGTCAGGTCAGGTCACGGAGCTATGACGTCACAAGAGAAACAGCGTCCGGTACTATTTTTGAAAAGCGCCCGAACCACTATTTTGCTAATTCTTGTCACCTCAATGGGAATATGCAGCAATATTAGCTTCTATAGGGAGCAAATGGACCTCCCAAATCCAAAAATACAATCAGATTTCAAAAATTTAAATTTTGATTTTTCGAATTTCTGCCGCCGACTGTGACCTTGCCGACTTCCGGCGCTCCCAACGCGCCATTTTTAGAGCTAGGGAAACGAAATACATACCAAACGATAGAGAATTGATCAAGGAACACGATAGTGAAGGTTTCAAGTCGATATCTCCCACCGTTTTGCCGCAATCGCCGCGGAAAGTTGAAAAAGTTTGATTTTTCCGGAAAATTTGACCTTTGACCGGTCATAAGTAGGTCAAATGTTGACCTAGGACCAAAAAATATACCACCAATCGCGAGATCTCGTTGAGAGCAATCCGTTGGTTTTTTCCGCTAAGCTCTACGACCTTCCGTTTCGAAACGCCAGGGGGGGGTCGTAACATCCCCCCCTGGTCGTTCGTGTTATGAGAAATGGCCTGGTCGTGCGAGGGTTAAATGCAATGTCTAAGAAAATTAAAATAATGAATGGATCTTATGAACCTGCAATTGCCGTTTTCACGACGGTTATATAACGCTTATTTGGTCACATTTGGTGCGATTTGGTCAAATTAGGTTCATAGCTGATTCTCAGTAGCTTTCAGTTTTTCAGTTTTGATAGCTATTGTTACTTACGTGCGCTTGGTTTCTTAAATTAATCGGACATTACTTTCGGTTAAAACATTGAAATAAATTCATGATATGAATCATAGGTATGTACATGAATATATTTCCTGTGCATGGGTCAAGTTTGGTGCATTAGCCAGATAGCCCGTCGTGAAAACGGCGAATATCTATTACCTACTCGCTAGCCGAAGCTGCGCCGGACCGTTTATCGGTGCGTCTTATCCTGTGTTATATATTTGCATGTTAGCTGGACATCCCTATATTCCGGAACGAACGTCAGTTTCCCGAACGAAAGGAGAAGAAAATGGTAATTAATCGACTCTCTCCATCGAGTTAATAGCCGTCACTGTTTAGTCTATTTATCATCAACGATTATTGTGGATAGCTCCAACTAACACATCAATCAATCAGCGACCTATCGTGCAGACGCCTTCTCTGCGCGATAGCCCTACAGATCGTATAACTCGGCCGTGCCATACGGACCGATCGGCCAAACTAACTGCTGAGTGCTGGGTCAGACATGACGGGTATCTCGGCCAGTCATACGACTCTCGAGCTCCTACATGTTCATGGTTGTAGCGCTTCACTCACCGAGACCGAAGGGTGTGCGGTTTACGACTGGCGTGCCTATACGAGCCGAAATCGTTTACAATGATGGCTATAGTGATCGTTTATATATAATTTCTATCGGGCTCTGACGTTTATTGAACCTATTGCCGGGATAACATTTGAAGATGCGGTGCGTGGGCACTGGCTGAGTCTTGCAGTTGTGATTTTTTTTTTTGGGGGGGAATAAGGTACCGCTACCTAGAAGTGTTTCTGTTTGTACGCAAGTGTGACTTATCCACCTCATTTTGATAATCAAATTTTGATAATCACTCGAAAATAGATAATGAAATACCTACACGTAATAGGCTGGCGCTGTATTATGAATTCCTATAATCTAAAATCACTCAACAACCGAATGAGCCAAATGTAACTTTATCCATGGTCTTGTTCTGCATGGTCTCTGGTGGCACATATTGATCAGTATTAAACTATCCATTTTGAGTTGTGAATAGGATCTAGGATTTCCTGGCATAGAGGAAACGCGAAAAGAGAAGCACAAAGCCCAAACTTTCCATCCTGCCAATTCAGAAGAATCCTAAATCTGTTTGGGTGTTTTACATGCCTAAATTCGGACGTTATGCAACGTTCCAACTTCCAATCATTGACGGCTTATTGAGGTCAATGGTTTCAACAGTCACTAGCTGCAGTCCTCGTGAATTGTTGAACGAACAGCACCACGTATGTATAATTGGCATGCTAATAGTTCATCGAATGATTCTCAGCATGATTAACATGGCAAAGTTGCTCCGACACTTATCACTTCTAACTTCGGCACCCAGCATCTTCATTTGAAGCTAGCAGCTGTCGCCTTTAGGTTTTAGCTTTCAGTTATGCATAACGCCATGCATTAAAAAAACATGCTACATAATACATATAATAGGTACTTTAATAATACGTCCCAAAGAAACCATCAAAAATAACCAGAAGCCCGTACCGAAGACACCGTCTCCTTTCCTGCTCCCACTTTCAGTGACTATGTAATCCCTGGACATTATGAACTCTGGCCCATTCAAGGCACTGGCCATTTTGAACACTGGACACATCGTGCCCTGGACATTATGAACCCTGGCCATTTCGAATACTGGACACATCGTGCCCTGGACATTATGAACCCTGGCCATTTTGAACACTGGACACATCGTGCCCTGGACATTATGAACCCTGGCCTCTTTGAATATACCCTATCTGCAGCCAGTTGGCCACATTTGGACCATGCAATCCCTGGACATTATGAACTCTGGCCCATTCAAGGCACTGGCCATTTTGACACTGGGCATAGCGTACCCTGGACATTATGAACCCTGGCCAGAATGAATGCTCCCCGGCCGATTCGTTTCCAGTCCGGCCCGCCTCCCTGCGCCTCGCTCGCCGACCGCGCGACCGTCCGCGACCGGCCGGGCTCCCCGGAAAGGTGCGCCGCAGCCTTTGATCTTACCGCCCGCCGGGACGGCGCAGTTAGCGCGCGGCTGCGGTGCACTCACTCACCGCCTCGCCTCTGTCTCTTATCCTCTTGTCTCTCTTCTTCCTCCGTCTTTATTGCCTTCTTTTTCTTTGGTTTTCTTTCTTCCTTTCCTTGTCTTGTTCTCTTTCTCTGTCCCCTCTCTTTATCACCGCTTCACGGTCGTATGGAATAGGTAAAGGATGCCGCAGCTGTTAGGCGGCACAGGCGATTTAAATCGGTCACCGGCTCAACAAAACGTCCGTATGTCCCTGACAGTACACCGCGATCATCATCATTTCGCACCAAACGGGCTCTGCTAAAATCCATCTCACGTTTTAACAGGTGCTCAGACACCCAGAAGTGTCGTCATGTGTCTCTAATTGAAATGAAGTACCTTCAAATTATCCATGGGGATTTCTGCCCCGTGTCTAATGAGGGTAAGCGCTGTTATACCTGTCCGAGCTAGGTGTGCGCTGAAGGCCGGCCCGCCGCCCCGATCGCAGGTGTCACGCGCTGGAGTCCCTTTGATCTTGCCGCCGCCTCTTCTGGTACATTAGGTCGCGCATTGGTCTCATCCCGGTCTCTGGGGATAATTTTAGTAATTTTATTGCAATTTCTATGCTAAATTTGTGTAATTTCTGAGGGACAAGCGGCGATCGGGCACAGGCGGCGCGCCTTTGATCTCGGGCCGCCGCGCGCCGTGGGAAAACGCGTGCTGCCGCCGGCGCCGGGCCGTTCGCGCCACCGCGCGAGCGCGCGCGCGCGCGCCGGCCGCACTTGAAACGGCGCCGCCGCCGTGGACACCGGTGTGCAGGCCGCCGTTTTTGTGCGTTGCAGCTCGCGCCGGGGCGCCGGTTCCGGTGCAGTCGGCGCGAGAAAGCCTCGGTCGTCAGCGGCCTGTGCGTACCGCCGGCGCAGACCCACATAATTAGCTAATCGCTGCGCGGCGGCCCGTTTGAAGTTCTGCGGGCAATTAGTCGCGGCTATACCGGCATTATACGGGCGGGCGGCGCGGCCGGCGGCGACGTGAAGCGCCGGGCGGTGGCGCTCCCCAAGGCGTCCAGCGGTGCTCCTCAGCCAGGGGCGCAGCGGCCGGCGGGCCCCAGGGGTGCCGAGTGGGCCGGCGGGTCCGTCGGTCCGGCCCGGGACATACCCGTCGGTGGCCGGCGCGACAGGCGCGGTGCCGTCGCGCCGGCCGCCGTGTAATCCACCCGGTTCCAGCGAACTGGGCCGGCCGAAAAACAGCCGACACGAACACCGAATATCCACGTCATGACGCCACCGCCGACGGCTCGACGGCGCTTCCGCATGATTAGCTACGCGAGGAAACACTGAATGAAATTGTTTTGACCACCGCACTGCGGAAAAGTGTCCAACAATGAACGAACTATAATCGTTAATTTGACAGGTTGAATCGTAGTGGCCGGCTGCAGCACGGAAATTGGAGTATCCCCTGCACAGATCTTTTACCATTTGACCGTCATCAAAGCACGCCACCGATTTTTAGTGTTTCCCAAAATGGTGTAGTTCATTTGTCGGCATGTTTTATCACAAATGAAGACATTGTGAACGTTTCCGACCAGCATGGTACGCCGTTGGTTCTTTATCAGATGGGCGGATTGTCGCGGCGCCGATCCACGGCACAGACCGCAGCAATGGTGGCGCGGCGCCATGCTCACTGCCGAGTCATGCCGAGCAGGAACAAAATGGCGCGGCGTCGCGTGTTACGGTTAGGAGGTGTGACATGAACATCGGACAGGGTGTCAACTTTAATCATTTGTCACGAGTCCGCCGTCTTCCAGTCTTCCTGGTCTAATTAAGCCGCGTCGCCAACGTTTGGGCACCTTCTCTTTGTGATTTCCCGTATTCTATGAAGACACGTGACGCCTATTTGTACCTATCTACATTCTTATCCGACCTTTGCCGTCCTGTTTGAAATAAATAAAATGATTTATAGTTGTCAGGTCAAAGTTAATAGGGAGATCGTCCACTAGCTATCCGGGCGCCCTTCCCAGCTGCTATTTGTTATAAACACAACCCGTGTTCTCAGTTCTATGGAGTCATGACCTGCGAAACTCCGGTGCCCCTGAGAAGGGTCAGCAGGGCTCGCTCGCTGACCCGTAGGTGATCTTAGTAGTCAGTAGTCTATGGGCTGTCCCAGCAAACTCAGAACTGCTGTCATAACCTCACCATCAGCAGCCGAGCTGCGGCTGGCGGATCCCGCAGACCCCTCTAATGATGCACCTCGCTCCGCTCCCCGCAGTGCGCCTCTTTAACGTGCCTCCCTCCGCTGTCCGCAGAGACCGGCGAGTGTATCGCCGTGGCGGTCAAGTCACGCTGCCTGAACCAGCTCGAGTCGCAGTACCACCTGGACGACGTGGCGTCCCGGTGCCAGCTCAATTTCCTGCCCGAGGTGCGGCTGCGCGCGCCGGCCGAGCCTGCCGACGGCGAGCCGCGCAACCTGCTCAGCTGCCGACCGCTGGCCGGCTTCGGATCGTGTCCGCGGCTGCGGCCGCTGGCCGACACACAGCGGCTGCTGTGTGACCCGAGCGGCGCCAACCACCACCGCTGCGACACCACACACTTCGTGGAGACCAGGTGAGCGGCCGAGCGGCCGGCGGGTGCCGCAGGTTACTGTCTAATAACTAATCACCACCACCGCTGCGACACCACACACTTCGTGGAGACCAGGTGAGCGGCTGAGACGCTACACGGCGCCGTCCAGTGTCCCTTATCCCCGGCCGAGAGGTCAGCAGGCGCCGCCTAGATCTCTGTCTTTTGTCCCCGACCGAGCTCACGGTCTCCGGCTGGACGGCCAGCGTGCTACGAGAGCTCGCTGTCCACTGTCCACATGTCCACTGTCCACTGTCCAGTGTCCACCGTCCCCGGCTGAGTAGCGAGTCGGTGCGGCAGGCTCACGGTCCCCACGGTGATCGCTCATCGTCCGGCCCGGATAGCGGCCGTGCCGCGTGAAAGTCCCCAGCGGCGGTCAGCCAGTGTCACCAGACGAAAGGAACTATTGACGCATATACAGACGCTGTGCCAGTAACACGGGTACTGATACAGGCACATCAAACAAACGAACACATGAAAACAAAACAAGCACAATTTGATACACCTATTACCTATAGGTCTTTTTAGTTGCCTACGTAACAATCAACATTGGTACACCAAATGAACAGAAAAAAACGCCAAATGTGGTCTGCCTTTTCCGGTCTCTCTCTCTCTCTCTCTCTCTCTCTCTCTCTCTCTCTCTCTCTCTCTCTCTCTCTCTCTCTCTCTCTCTCTCTCTCTCTCTCTCTCTCTCTCTCTCCCGCTCTCTCTCTCCCGAGTTGACGTTTAACCGGTGGGTGACGCTTAACTCGAGCTAACGTTTAACTTTCTCCCCTCAAGTTTAACCGGTGGCTCATTTTCCCTCAGGTGTCGCCTCATGGAGACGTGTGACCAGGCCGTTTTGCTCTCGGGCGGCTGGAACCGACTTCACAGCGACCAGCGCAGCCGACTCAACGTGCTGCACATGTACCGCATGCTCAAACACAGCGGCTTCCGCAAGCACAACATCAAGGTGTTCTTCGCCAACGGACGCGACAATGTCGACGGAGAAGGTGAGCTGGTCCCCACAGAGTGCACGACCTTATCAGCCGAGTCGTCTAAATTAAACAGCTGCGGATTCAATCGTTAATCTACCCCAATATAGTGCGTCATTGACCTTTGTGTACCGACACTAGACCTGCGTATGCAGAGGTCTTAGAATTCGTTTATCCATTCATAAGCATTGTGCTGGTTAAAGCTGGCATTGTTTGTTGGGTTGGCACCGCGAATGTTTTATGGTGTTTGTTCGTTGAGGTCATGTTCGTTGAGTGACAGCCGAGGGTGTTTTGTTAATATGTATCCGCTATTAGTGCTCCGTACAGCTCCGTACAGCTCCTTGCAGCGTTCTAACGCTACCCCTGTGCCCCGGCAGACGAGTCGTACCCGCACACCTACCTGCACCCGTCGGCCATGAAGCTGGGCCTGCGCTACCACCTGCGCAAAATGTGCGCCGAGCCGCACTGCGTCGACTCTCTGGTGTTCTACCTGAACTCACCGGCCGCCGACGACGGCTCTACTCTCCTCTGGGACGCCGACGGCGACGGCATTGTGAGTGCCGAGTCCGCGCGTCAGGGTCTGTGCTTCATTAACTACCTGGGATATATCCTCTTGGTGAAATGGGGTCCTCATTAGTAACTGCCTCTTTCTTCATAGCGCGTCCATGCCTTTCAGCTGCTTCACTTCGTGTTATATCCGGTTTGTTCTGGGTGGCGCTGGCTCGTCTCCTTTGTAGGGTGTCCATGGCTGATGACTGGCAGTTGTCTCACCAGTATGTCGTTACACATCCGGCTCGATCCGGTTAGTGCAGCGCAGCGATGGCGTGTCTGTGTTTTCTGTTGTCTGTGCGCGCCACTGACACCCCCGCGCTCCTCCAGGCGTCCCACCACGAGCGGTACCGGGTGGCCGAGCTGCTCTCCGACCTGGAGTCGTGCGCCGCGCGCCAGGTCCTGCTGCTGGTGGACCAGAGCTTCTCGGGCCGGATCGTGCGCGCCATGGCCGGCTCGCCCAACCACGCCAACGTCCAGGTGGTGGCCGCCGCCGGACCCGACGAGTACAGCTGGGGCGGCGAGTTCACGCGCGTCTGGAGCCAGACCAACCACTCGCGCACCTGCACACGCACCGTCAGCAAGGTGGGTCAGCGGCGCTCAGCGGTACCCGCTCTGTCCCGGCTCTGCCGCCACTTAGCTGTCTTTTATCCGATGGTTCCGTGCTCAGTGATCTATCCCGCTTTTCCACTTTACCATACCGTTCATAACGCATCCACCCTCCCAATTCATCCTCTTGGATCCTGCAGCCATCCTTTTTTCTCGTGGAGCGGAGGCCCTTCTCCTCCGGCCTTAACATGTCGCAGTACTCCGCACCTTCTTTCCGGTCGGTGTCGTTCCACATCAGTCGAGACTGGCCCGGACCGATCCTCGGAAATTGGAGCACAGTTCTTTTGGGAAAGGTCATTGTCCATAGAAAAATCCACCTCATTGAGCGAGCCGACTGGATCTCACATAAGTGATGCGCCTTCCGCATTGAGAAGTGCGGCCACCACCGGTTTCCCAGTGTTTCCTTCCTCCTACACAGGACGAGCTTGTCGCTGGCTATTGATGTTGCCGATTATCAAATGCGCCGAATCCACTAACTGGTTATCGCATCATCGAGGAAATGCAGCCGTAAAAATAACCACTGCACTAACACCTCAATGGGTCTTAATGATCACCTTGTTTTCTACGGGTGTGCCAATGAATGACCAAAAATGTGGTGCTGCCATTGCCGTGCCCTTTCAGCGGACGGCTGGCCGATGTCGGTGCGGTGTTGTCGCAATGTTTGCGGTGTCTGACCGGGCTCTGTCCCCTCCCCAGTCGCTGAAGACGGCCGTGTTCCGCTCTCACCCGGAGTCGATCTCTGGTCCGGAGGTGCCGCCGGCGCTGACGCTGTTCGGCGCGCCGTGTGACGCCCACCCGGCGCTGACCGCCGCCGAGCTGGAGCGCGACTACCGCGGCTGCCAGAACGTCCGCCTCACCGAGTGGGTGCACAGCCACGCCAGCCGGCCGCACGACACCTCTCTGGACCGGCTGGTCGAGGAATCGGCCACACGGCGGAGGCGGGCCGACCACCGGCGCCGCTAGGGCCGCCCCACGCCGCTGCCGGACGGCGGTCGGCGCGTGCGCGCGCGCGTTCAGGTACCAGTGCTATGTCAGTGTTATGTGCGCGCTGGCGGCGGGCGGCGGGAAGAGAGGGGCTGCCGCCGCCCCAGAGCGCACGTCTTCCCCTCTCTCTCTCTCCGCCCCGCCACCAGCCGCAGAGACTGTGTATGTCAGTGTTATTTAAGCAATCTTCGTAGATGTATCACGTGTAGTGTACTGTTGTATGTTTGTCTACATCTGGCGGTTTGCTGCCGCCCCATGTTAACGATGATAATGTAGGGCTCATTCTTTTCCCCCTTAATGTTGATAAATGTACAGTGCTAAGACTGAATCTATACTCAGTTGACACGTCTATTAAGCGTCATACGCTAGCGCCAGCCCGGTCGCCATGTATGCATTAGTGGCCGCCTACGAGACAGCGCCCGCGGCTGCCGAGCTGATGCTGGGCCCGGCTCCGTCAGTTAGGTGATGTGCTCGGCTCCGTCAGTTCAGTGATGTGTACAGCTCCCATCAATTGAGGTGATGTGCTCGTATGGTGCGCCGAGCAGTGCGCGGGGACGGCGTGCCGGACTAGGCTGCGCCCACCGGCGCCCCGTGGACAATCCGTGGTAGGTTACGTTGTGATCGTGTTGTCAATACATGCTGTGCTCCATTTGGTTAATCAGGCCTGATTCAAACCACTGAAATGTAATACACCATCTCCGCCAAGTCAACATACCACGGGAAACCGCCCAATAAAAAGTCGCGGTATATATTCCAGTCAAAAGACATGGCAACGCAGCCTGCACAATAAATCTAAAAATGGACGATCAATCACCATCATATCATCTTAACAACTAAATCAACAATACTGCCAGGCAGGAACCTCGATTGGTACAGCCACGGGGCTGCAGGTAGAAGAGGCCATATCCGCGGCGGGCCACTGACCTGATCTGAACAAGGTGTTCGAGTCTTTGAACACACGGAACGGTCTCAGTTGCCGCGATATTGCACAGAGACTGACCTCTGATCCTGTCACAGAGCGCTCAGACTGACCTTAGTCACCAGGACCGACAGAACAGCATCATACTGCCCCTGGGTCACCGGACAACGCCATACTCTCCGGTCACGGAGAAAAGTCCTCCGGTTACAGGACTGACCTTGAGTCAAAGGATCAAGGCCTTGAACGACCTCAGGCAACGGGACAGGACAAGAGCTGACCTCAGGTTACCTCAGGTTACGGTACAGTCGGGACTGTCCTCGGGTCACAGGACAGGGCTGGGACTGCCCTCAGGTCACGGGCAAAACCAGGGCAAACCTCAGGTCACGGGGCAAGTCGTAACGAACCTTGGGTCACAGGATATGACCAGGACTGACCTCAGGTCACAGGATAGGGCCAGGACTGACCTCAGGACACAGGAAAGGACCCAGGGCTGACCTCAGGTCCCAGGAGAGGGCCAGGACTGACCTCAGGTCATAGGAAAGGACCCAGGACTGACCTCGACCGCAGAGCGGGAGAGGAACAGCTGCTCCTCTGGCGAGTCTCTGCTGAACCCGTATCGGGGGTGTGCACCACGGCGCCGGCGCGGCACTGACCGCCGGCACTCCGCAGCCGATCAGAACTGGTCGGCAATCCGCGCCATCTCCGGCGGCGCCCTGCCGAGTAGTGTCAGCAGCCAGATGGTGCGCCGCATCGCCCACATCTTCACAGAGTCCACGCTGGAAGCACAAACCGCGTAACGTTACTGGACATACTTCACGCTAAGCACACTGACTAGCGTGGCAGCCTCAGTTTACTTTGAAAACATCAGACATCATTACCTAACCTAAATGTAAACAATCATGCACGGAATACACACAGTAGAACTAAATTGCCCCGCCCACATCTTAATGAATTTTCCCTACAAATAAATCCAAGACAATACAAACCACCGCCTACGTCCTAGCAAGCTTCACACTGAGCAATGCACTGGGGCACAGACTTCTCTATATAAAGTCTGTGACTGGGGTCATTGCAATGACGCCCTACCTTGGGAACAGTCAGCACCGCCACAATAAGCCGTACTGTCCGCAAACTTTCCGAGTCTATACATGAAATACGATCGGAAGCATTACAAGCGATGAACTCCAATGAACAGTGAAGTCTGGTGAGAATGACCTTTGGGTCTTTTGGTCACAACAACTGTTGTCATCGATTGAGTGTTACATAAGTTCAATCGGCCTTCAGCACCTAGCATGAAATACCCGTGCGACTCTGACGTTTGAACCGAAGTAAGATGACAGTTGCAAAAATACTTCAATATAAAGTATCATAGTCTGGCCAACCTAAGAAAGAACGGAGTTACAACGATTTAACCACGTGTTTGCACGTGGTTTGATCATTGCTAATGAATAGGTCCAAGAAAAGCTGTCTGAAAAGCCGAGGCATCTTCAGGCAATAAAGTGGCATGTGGATCAACAGCGGCTGCGTTCTTTCTTAGGTTTCTCAGGCTAAAGCGTAAATATAAGTCGCGCTGCACTCACAAGAGTCTCCAGTCGAAGACGAAGCGCTGCCAGTAGCCGGCCAGGCGGGCGGTGACGCCGGCGCCCTCGACACGGAAGGCGCCCTGTGTGGCGCTGCGGGCCATCAGCCGGTACCGGTCCACGTGCGAGCCGTGCTCAGCAGTGATGGCGCGGATCAGGTTCATGTTCCTGGTGCACCGGGGTCACAGAGGTCACAACGGGTCATCGGGTCAGGGTCACTAATACAATTACGAACACAAATACACAAATGTTCATTAAATTTGCGGGATTTGGGAATAACTATCAGTATAATAGTAACTTTAGCAAAGAAGAAGCAACTCAAATGATCTTGTACATGGGCAGATAAAAGACAGAATCAAATCATCAGCATCAGAAAGGCAACAGCTAAAACTGGTGTTACTTGAGCTACGCAAACAGAGAAGATACACAACATAAATGCGCTTCGTATGTGCAAATGCGACGAGGTCATGCAGCACTAGCTAGCTATAGCGCCTTCTACGAATAAACCGAATATATCATACTGCTGTATACCCCGACCGGAACCCAAACTATCTCCCAGAGCAGTTAATCCCGTAAAATGATATCTACCAACGTATAACCCCACTCCTCACCCCATTCACCATTCCCAACACCCCCTAAACATGAACAGTCCACCCGGATACGAGTACCCAAATCAAACACCTCCAAACCCCCGCAGCTCCTCAATACCAAACATTGCGGTTATCTCCGGGGAAGCTGACGACCAGCGCTGCCCTCGAGCGCTGTTACAGAAGCGAGCGAACCATCAGAGGCCACAGGTCAGCAGCTGGACTAATGAGTATCGGCCCGCGGACGAGCCTCGCCGTACCACGCGGGACTGACGGACAGAGTACAGAGGTACAGGGGTACACCGGTACAGCGTGTACCGAAGTACACCACCCGGCACCAGCCGCTAATACATGACGCTCGCGCAGACGTATCACCGACACCAATCAGGGTGATAGAGATATCGGTCAGCAGAGGGACTGCCCAGGGAAACCACTAATGGATTGTCCCGCGACTGGTACAGAGTACCGCCACACGGACCATGAGCGGTACACAAAACCAATAAAAGGACCCTGAGCTCATGAGCTCATAAGGTCGCAGAGTATCAACGCACGGACCCGAGAGGTATGTACAGAGAACCAACGCACAGACCCTAACCGGTACAGAGTACCAGTGAAGGGACCTGAGAGTACAGAGTACCAACGAATGGACCCTGAGTGGTATAGAGAACCAACGAATGGACCCTGAGCGGTACAGAGAACCAACGAATGGACCCTGAGCGGTACAGAGAGCCAGCGAATGGACCTTGAGCGGTACAAAGTACCAACGAATGGATATTGAGTGGTACAGAGAGCCAACGAATGGACCCTGAGCGGTACGTGCCAACGAACGGGCTCTGAGACAGTATCATGCTGCCAGCATCTCAAAATGAGAACATAAAATATCATCATACCTCATGGTAAGGGAGGAACGTCTTGCCATCGGGAAATGGCAGGAGAACGGCTACGACCTCCATCAAACGAACGGGCTGCGAGTTGGTGAGAATGGAAGGAAGACGGTTTGTGGGTTCGGAACAGGCTGTGGGCTCAGAAGAACAGGCTCCGACCTTATGAGAATTGAGTGTTTGCTTCAGTAAACCAGCTGTGGTCTGAGCAGATGGGACCATGAGCTCAGGAGAAAGGATTGTGAGCTCAGAACGGGTGCACCGAGCTGACAGTTGACACCGAGTTAACGACTCAGACTGAACGTCAATCTTAGGCCAAAAACGGACAGGATTGGAGGGAGCGATAAGGATTAAACAAAGTGGCCCACAAGAATCGGTGTGAACTGAAGACAGCGAAATAATAACGTCGAGCAGTGCTGTTAGCAAGCCTCATGGCGTGGTCATGCAAATAACATGCTCCAGCGTGCCAACCTAAAAAGGTAAAAAACAAATTACAAAACACTAGCCATGCGATAGTTAGCGAAAGCAAACGGCGGCGCCCTAACAGCCCTGGGAACCGGCAGCCTAGGGATATCCCCGCACCCGGAACACAATAGTTTGCCGGTCATGAACGAAAAAAAGTTAGATGGTCGAGGAGGATTACCATAAACGTGTTGAAATGCTCGCCAAGTAAAAGTAAGACCAGTGAGTGGTGTTAGTGAAATATTGACACCATGCGATGAACAATAACATGCAGCAAAGCGACCGGGCCGGCCCATCCAACAGGACTGATGACTGCAGATATTCGACGGGGCAGTGGGTCATCATTTGGGTACAAAAGAAAGGCGGTACTCAGACATGATCGTGCTTTAGGGGTGTTTAAGAAGGGGAACGATGCATGCTTGGACTGGGAAGTGGGACCTGCATGAGATGGTATGTAAAGATGAGAGTCGGGCACCGCAAGGGATCGTGCAGTCACGAAGTGCTTATCTCAGGGATGGCAAAGATACAAACTGGGTTCGGTTTTTGGGCAGGGGATCCTACAAGCACTGACTTATTATCTCAGGGATGGCAAAGATACAAACTGGGTTCGGTTTGTGGGCGGGGACAGGGTGGGACGAGGGATGGCAGACAGGAGAGTTGGACGAGGCCGGCCCGGCGCCGGCCGCTGCCGCCCGGCCCGGCCCGGCCCGCGGTCACATCTGCCGCCGCATGGAGCCGCTGTCGGCCGGCCGAGCTATGTACAGAGCGCACGCGCGGCGCGGCGGCGGAGCGGCGCGCGCCCACCCACCTGATGACCAGGAGCACCGAGCGCGGCAGCTGGCGCAGCGCGTCCGTGATCTGGTCGAACCGCTCGGCCGCCTGGCGGCGCATGTACTCCTGGTCGCCGGTGACGGCGTGCCGGAGGGCGCGCACGGCGCCGCCGCGCCGCGGCAGCGGCCGCTGCAGCAGCATCTCACAGAGCAGACAGTGGTCTGACGGCACACACGGCCCCAGACCGTCACTCCACTGACCGAAACACCAGCGCCAGCGGCGGCGGCAGCGCGCGCAGCGTCTCCACCAGCCGGTAGTGCAGCTCGGTCACCCATTCGGTCAGCTCCGGCGTCAGCTTCACCCGCGTCATCCGTGGACCGCGCGCGTCGAAAAACAGCGCCCAGTAGTCGACCGGGTCGGCTCGGTCAGCCGGCGGCGGCGGTACGAGGCGCTGCACCAGCGCGATCGCCAGCAGACGGTAGTCTGGGAGGAGGGAGGAGTCTGGTAGTCTGGGGAGTGGGGCGGCTACCAGCAGGGTCTACCCACCGCGCCGGACCGGAGCGCCGCGTCCGACCCGACCGTCTTATCCTATCTGATCCTATCCGTCCTAACCACCTAGCCTAACTCCTAACCTACCTGTCTACCCACCCGTTCACGCCCCCACACCTACCCCGCCTACACAAGGAACAGTGCACGCCTTGCAGCCTACCTCAACACCAGAAATATCTCATTCGGGATGTTGTTGAACGCCTCTCTCATCTTCTCGCGGGCATGCTCGAAGCGGGCCTGCATCTTGGCGCGGTCCTCTTTGGACATATTTTTCCAGGCCTCACGGTCGAACGCTTTGGGGCCGCGCCGGCCCAGGAGTTCGTTTTCCTGTTTGCTGCCCTCTGGCGGGCCGACGTACTTCTGGGCAACGAACATACAGAAGAACCGGTACTCGTCTGCCGGCACGGACGGCGGGTAGCGACGTGAGGGCGGCGGGCGGACCTCTACGGACCACGGGAGGGTATTGAGACTTGAGAGACCGGAGCTGCAGTACAGCGCCACCTACCTGTACCACCGGCCATCTGGTGTTGGTCCGTCACGGCAGGCCAGCTCAGATAACAGGCACTGAGCGTGCGCTTCTAACATGCACATGATTCGATGGGGGGGGGGGGGGGGCATCCTCAAAACGGGCAACAAAACATAGAAGCCTTACGTCTGTTAGCACTTACCTGCAGTCTAAAGACAAGTTCGAGACGCCACGAAACATGTTTGAACAAAAACAAAAATCAAGTTTGTTGAACGTGAAATTTGTGCTAGATTTGGACTAGACAGCACAGGCTCCGATTGAACGGCAACCACTATTTTTTTTTGCAGCTGATGTCACTAAGTTATGCAGCTGCCTCCGCTGCCAGTTCATTTGACAAACTATTCTCTGCCCATGGGGGGTCATCACCTATTTTCGAATAAAACGAATGCAATGCAACACATTCAGCGCATTCACATTCGAATGCAACACATTCAGCGCTGTCCCGGCTCACCCATCATACACTCGGCACCTCGTTCCATCACCCTCATCCAGAACGGACGATGATGCGTCGACTAACTTCTTACTAGGATGACCACGCGCAGTAGACTCCGCCTCCGCATATGCAGCCCTACACTTCGCTACCCGGCTGAATGACATCGAAGTACTTGAAGTATTCGTGGCGAACGCATGCTCCACACAACACTAATTTATTCGGAGCTCACTCGTAAGGAATGTTGTCTCAATATGTTAGAAAATAAACTTGTTTTCAAGGACAAAGTTATCACGGCATGTCGTACTTTAACAAAAAAAAAAAAAAAACACACACTGTAACAAACTGACAAGCGAATATAGAAACAAAAGCAAGTTCTGCATTTTGCTGCTTAAGCCGTCTAACAACAGCTAGCGATTTGATCCAGTCAGGTGACTGACAGGTCGGTCGTCGGACCTCTCTGCCCCGGCCCACGGTCTAGCTGCAGGTCAGGACCAGGTTCAGGAAGCGCCCCTGCCCCGGCCGGGTGACTAACAGGTCGGTAAGCGCCCCTGCTCCCCCGCCGGTAACTTACCGGTGACACCGAGCTGGCCGGCGAAGCGCGCCATCGAGGGGTGATCGTTGAGCACGATGGCCTTCCAGAGGTTGGCCAGTGCGGTGCGGACGGTCTCCGGGAGCCGCTGGTAGAGGCCGTGGTCGAGCAGGACCAGCTGCGCCCGGCCGTCGGCGCCGCGACGCACCAGGACTGACGGACGGAGGAGGGTAACGTCACCGGAGGTACCGAGCGGCGAGCGCACAGTGTACCTATAGAAGCTGTCGCTGTACATCGCTGGCCAGCTGATATCCTCTGTCCCTCCCAAACAGGTAGGGAACACTAATCACTAATCGACAACATTACCACTAATCACTGATAACACCAATATATTGAGATGGTACGGCATTCACTGTTGTCTGTGTTTGTATCGGTAAGCCACCCAGTGTTGTCACTTGTCTGTGTTTGGGTGGGTATGGTACTCTGACTGCTGTCTGTGTTTAGGTCGGAACTCTATTGCCGGGGGGCACAGAACTCACTATTCCCTGGGTGCGGGTCGGCGTGCACGAAGCCCGAGTGGAAGATCTGTTCGGCGAAGGATCGGATCAGCTTTGTGTCCACGTCTGCTACGTCCAGGCCGAGCTGCTCAATACCCTCGAGGTCGCTGATCTTGACGCCGTCTATGAACTCAGCCGTCAGCACTCGCTGGGAAACAAGTCCATATTTTAGTACAATCTTCAGCGAACGACGCATGACAAACTAACAGAAGAGCCAGACGAATCCCTTGAAAGGGCAAACGGACCCAGCGGACAGACCCACCGGCCGCACAGGATAGCAAAGCATCAACAGATCGGAGCTCGCAGGGGAAGCGCAGTCTGCACGTGACATATTAAAACCTCGGTGATCGGTTCAGTTGATCCATAAATCAACTGATATAATAGTTAATACATGAATTACACAGCTGTCAGTCCAATCTGATGGCGTATCTTTGATTATGGAAAATGCCGGATCTCCGCAATCGCAACACTCACCAGCGACGTTTTGTCCCAGTGCACCTTCGGCACGTGCACGAAGCTGAAGTGCGCGAGGTCAGAGGCGCAGCGCTCCGCATTCTTCCCCTCGTGGATGAAGTCGAGCTCCTCTGCCAGAGTCTTCTTCAGGTCCTTCATCACCCACTTGAGCGTGAACTTGGGGTGCATCCAGGATATGAGCTCCAGGAGCATCTCTATGGTGCTGATGTCGCCGTGAAACCGGTCCTGGAGGTCGATGTACTGCACCTTTACCGCCACCTGAGGCACATAAAGAGACAACACCGGTCAGAGTGCTGAGACACATCCCAGTCGGTCGGACAGAGCGACCAGGGCCACGCCCTCCCTATCGCCCGTACAAACCGGCACATTTGTACACTGGTGTGGTGACCGACACACACTGGCTGCAGAGCGCGCCTGAACAAACCGCTCCAGCTCTCGGTGTTAGATGGTCGGGTGGCCATCGTCTCATCACTATCCACTATTACCACCAGGACAATATTGGATGCGGGATGAACTGGGAGAATCAGTCCGTCATGCACAGTATGCGCCAATTAGAGAAAGCCAGTGTCCCTACCAACTCATTGCGTTCTCACGGTGTCTGGCCACTATAACATACACTGCCGTAGTGGTCAAAACCAATTACGTTCGGGTGACCTCTGGCCTGAGGTAATGACCTAGTCTGGCCCGACGTAATCGTTTTTGCTTTTGCACGGCAGTACAGTACTGGCACCACCCTCCTAGCCCCAATGTGGATACCACCTCTGCAGCTGTCAGGGTACCGCCCCTCCCCATCAAACCTCACCTTCTCCCCGCTGTGAGTGGTGGCCTTGAAGACCTGCGCCAGACTGGCGGCCGCCACCGGCTCTGGGTCAAACTCTGCGAACATATCCAGGTGGGAGCGGCCGAAATCCTCCAGGAACAGGCGGCCCACCTCGTCGGCCCGCCGGTTCAGACACCGGTCCTGCAGCACCTGCGGGCGAGGGAGAGAGTGACTCAGTGCTCCTAAGACATCTGTCCTACTCCTGGAACATCTGCGAGCAAGGGAGGCGGAAGACTCACTGCTCCCTCTCAACTGATTCTGCTCGACCTTGAAACTACCTAGTTCTGAGCAGTAGTTCTGAGCAGATGCTGTCTAATAGCCTGCTAAGTGCTATACACTATATGTAGTCTATGTTTCATAGTAGCTGCTTAGGTGAGACAGCACGGCATCGTATTTCTATTTTCCCTGATTTAACGTTGCAACAAATGTTCGGTGACCTCGCCCCACCCCAGTCTTCAGCTGACCAAGCAGCAGCGCAAACTGCAGCAGTCAGATCGGCTCAGGGGTGGGGACTCAGCCGGACCGACCTACCTTCAGCGTGTTGAGGTATTCCTTGGGCAGGATGTGGTTCATCGAGACGAGCCCCTGGCCCAGCTTGACGTAGAGGCCGCCGTTTTTCAGGCACCCGACCAGGATGCGGTCGGCGGCACGCTGGTGGCACCCGCTCATTGCTGTCTCATACTCCGTGGAGGTTTCGTCCATCCCGCGAGTCGACCACCAGTAGTCGAGCGAGATGGTGGCACCGATACGGACGGAGCTGTGTAGGGGGAGGTGGACGGGTCACCGCGCCGTCCGCGGCGCACGGTTACAACTTACAGAGGTCAGAGGTCACAGGATGACCCAGCTGGAAACCGGGAAACATGGGCTCCGCACACTAGACGAATGAGGTGAGCTATGACGATGAATAGACCGATTTGTTTTGTTTTGTTGGGTTAGGCCCTTTCGGTCCAATTAGACCATTTCAGAGCCGGGAGGATGATAGGATATAGGGAAAGACATTGGTCTGGGCAGGCACCCTAGTGAGTCGCCGGGGCTGAGCCCGTCCAGAAGACAGGCCACCCAGCCCCAAGGCACTCACTGCACCCGGCTACGGGGTGCGCTCCCTCGGGAGCAGCGGTGCCGCTCCAAGGGAGCAGCCCGCGTGGGATAAAGTTGCCTGTCCAGCCCGGAAGGGGGTTGCGGCGTGGAGGAGAAGGTTTTCTGTATCCCGAGGATAGAAGCACGGAACGGTCGAATAGACCGAAGCTTCGTCGATGGAAATGTGTTGCAAAAGGTAGCGATTTTATCAGATTATAGCGATTATACGGAATACGGATGGACGTAATTAGTGACGTAAACGTGGAGCACGCAATAAAAAAGCTGCCGACGCGTGCGTCACACTTACCGGACGAAGCGGCCCACGCCCTCATATGTGACTCGCAGACGCCGGCGCCCGATGTCGTCCTGACACGCATAGTAAACGGCGGGCACCACAGCGCCGCCTAGCGTCGCTCCGACGAGGCTGTACTTGAGCAGTCGGCCGGCAGAGCGGCGGGACGGCCGGCCGGCTGAGGCACTCAGGGAGCGGACGGCGCCCAAGGGCGGCAACGCTAGCCGGACGCACCGGCGGAGGGCCATCGCAGGCAGCGGGAGGACCAGTGGCGGGAACACCAGCAGACAGCGGCAGCGGGGAACAGTAGAGCAGCTGCACCCGTACGACGACCGTTCAGAGCCGCGGAGGCGGAGGCGGGGTCAAACGACGGTCACTCAGACCTGTAAAGGCGAAGGGAGAGGGCCAAAAAACGCTCAGTCAGATGTGCGAAGGTGAACTATTCGCAATCACCAACTAATTATATAAATGACATTGGCAGTGAACCATGGCCAGCTCATGATGCAACAAGCGATGTACCACTCTCAAAACATCTTATATAAGTTAACACCTTATACATGCATATACACAGTCGGCGAAACTACCATGAAGTTATAACAACACACATTGCAATCAGCTCGACATGGCGCGGACACTCAACGGTTTTGATTCCCAAGGATACAGGTATAACGTACTCGGTGCTCTTTGTTTTTGTGGAGAGTAGAGTTGCAAAGTTTTCCCAATGGGCTGCTACCGGCACCGCCCCGCCCCACAAACATTTTCTGGGATACCGGCATGCTACCACGCCCCAAGCAAAAAAACCGCCAAATTACCGGCATAGGGGAGAGTGGGGTGGGTTGTATCAGTTTTTACTCCGAGACCCATAACCTCGTAACTATCCGTGATAAACTCATTATTTCCATACTATCTCCTTCCTTGATTCTTCTGCTTTTTCGTGCCAAGTAACTTTTCCGTTACCTCTACCAGTTTTTCTTCTACGGTCTACCGAATAGAACAATGTTTTTGATACAACTTGCCCCATAGCTTGGGTGAGTTGTATCACATGGTGGGGTAATTTGTATCACTATTTCACGTTTCAGGGTGTGTGCTTTCTACTGGCTTTGAACATAACAACAACATTAAATGGGGTTAATACAATTTATATGCTCAAAGGCTTTACTTTTATTAGGCCAAACTTAGGTCAATGCAATCCGAACGAAACATCGAAACGTCAAATGAACGAAACATCAACAGACTAGACGCAAAAGTGGCCCGTTAAGAGCAAAGAAGCCAACACATTGTGCCGAAATTGAACGAGTATTGACTAGCTATCTACAAACGCGAGCCAGGGCTTAGCTTTCGCGATCAAAAGCAACATACCCATACATACATACATACATACATGTTATAACATACCCCACCCGGCTCTGATACAACATGTACCTCGCCGCCATCTTGGAAAAAACATCCTCGTGCTCAAAAACAGCGGACAGCTGGAGAAATCCATTTTCACTCACGCAGCCTTAGAACCTACCCTCACCACCGCTACGGAGATCTTTCAAATTCGTGCACATCTAAATGCCCAAAACACACATTTTCTTGCAACTTATTTTTTTAGAATGACATTAAAAAAACATAAAATCGGCTCTCACCTCGAGACTTGTCCATCCAGCCACACGACAGAACAGGGAAAGATTGCGCCCGGAAAACCTCGTCGGCTGGTCGTGTCACGAGCGCCGTCTATTGGATAAGTTTGGCACAATTCGCCCTGATACAACTTGGACATGATACAACTCTCCCCGCTCTCCCCTACTAAAAAACCTGCATTCTTGATTCTGGCTTACCCCTACATGAGATGCCACATTTTGGCAATTTCAGTAACCGCCCCACCCAACAGCCACCCATTGTCCAACTTATTACAATTCCATAGCCTCTTAGTGTCCAAAGTTTGAATCATATGCTGATAATTTTTTTGTGCATAATCAAAAATACCGGCATGCTACCGGCAAGACATGCCAGATACCACGAAAAAACCTGCGGTAGTGAAAAATTACCGGCATGCCGGTAGTGCGGTAGGGAAATTTTGCAACTCTAGTGGAGATATTATCGTCACGTTTTATTGATAAGGCCAGATTTAAACTTTGACCACCTCCTCAAAATACAGCGTATAAAACATTCGACTCGAAAACCAAAAGCACTAACCATTTTCCCGTGTTTGAATCAGTAGTACATTGTTATTCGGCCTATGACGTGGACTTTTACGATAATTAAAAGCGGTTCTTTTATGAAACAAATTAGAAATACATATCTCAAGGTCAGGCGATGCTCATCTCGTGTCTAATTCGACTCGAGAGCACAGCAAACCACGCAGGGGACCGGTGAGGCTAAAGTAAACGGCCCACAAGCTGTCGGTGCCACCGGTAAATAACTCACGTGCAGCGTAGCCCGGTCCGTGGCGCTCTGCCGCCGTCACCGCTGCGCAGCCGAGTCCGCTACGTTAATGGGCCGAGACTCCGGCCGGCCGCTGGCCAGGGGCCAGTCGGCGGCGCACAGTGGACCCGGACCGGACCGATTGCCGAAACGCGTTAACTGTAGCGGACCCAGCCGCACTAACTGCAACGGCGCACAGTGGACCGAACCGTAATAATTATAGATGACCGATTACCGAAGCGTACTGACTGCAGCGGACCGAACGCACTTATCGCAGCGGCGCACAGTGGACCGGACCAGAAAACTGCAGCGAAACACACCGTACCAATCGCAGCGGCGCACAGCGGACCGAATGGCACTTACTGCAGCGGCGCACACTAGGCCACCGGCACATTCAATGCAGCACAACGTAGAACTAGCCGGGCACCGCTACAGCTGAGCGCAATATGCCCACTAATCGGTTAGATTTTCTGCTTGTTGTGCGCTGGCCGCTGTGGCAGCCGCGGCCCAAAGTGCAGTAGCGGCAGCCGGCGTATAATGCCGAGTCATCAAAACTTGCCGCCGGCGGGGGAGGGGCGGAGCGAGACGTGCAGAGTTGCTCAGACGCACAGAACGCCGCCGGCCGGGGCAGCGGGTAAACCGCCCACCTCAGCACAGCGCCGCCGGGTTCGGCGGGGTACGGCCCGGCGGGTACGCCTCACCTCGCCTCAGCAGGGGAGGGGGAGGGACACTACATTTCAGCCTCCAGAGGAAGGGAGCGAATGTCGGGGCAGCTTTTCAGAGGACATTCAGCCAGCCCCACCCAGGCCGCTATCGGTTAAGATACTTATAATCGTATCGGCCTTGTGTAAATAGAACCGAGAGGGTCATCACGAGGCCACTCGTGACCGACCAAATAGGCCTCATCGCGTACGGAGGCCACTCGACAGCGCTGGCTCAGGGTCTCCACGGTACTTCAGAGACGCCAGAGTACAACAGAAGGAGTCAATGCAAGGGCAGTGCAGCCCAGTGATTAATGAGAATGCATCTCCATTGATGTGGGGCAAATGGGACAGTCACCCCCTCACGATCCTTCTTGCCCTTATCTTCTGTCTCTGACCCACTCTTCCCTTTCAAACATGCGTGCATTGAATTTCAATTGATTACGATTCCAATATGAGTGTTCCTTACTATGAATGCACAAGAACTCAGCAATATTTCAAGGCTTATTGGAGGAGTCAAGCCAGGGCATTACATTTGAAATTGAGTATAAGGCCTTCCCCATCACTCTCCTTCCCCCATCCCTGGGCTCTTATGAGCATGACACAAAGAACTGGCCACTGGGTATGCAGCAACCCCAGACTCCTTGACAAACTGTCCTCTCCCTCTCTTTGCAGTATCAGAGTTACAAAAGAGGTTGACTTTCTAGAGCCTGTGAGCAAGCTCTAGACATTAGGGACTGATGAGAGCAGTGAACCAGGACATTCCTTCTCAACCAGTGTTGGAAATGAGGCCCTTTTCTGGTCCCGGGCGGGTCCAAAAGATTTTATTCTCCTTACCAATTTTATACTCCGGCACCTCTGTGTCAAAATGTGACTAGCAAAAGAACAGCGACTGGCGCAAAGTCGTCCAGACATCAACAAACTAGCAAATTACGGAACGTTAACCGATTCTGGAGTTTTTATGCTTTGTTCTGATTTATCAAGTCATTGGGCCCGCGAGATTCATGCACAATCCGCAAATTTGGGATAAGGTGGATCCCTAAAAGTTATCCTTTGTTGTGCTGCATGGTAACCAACTGACTGGTCTTCCCACAGGATCCTCCATAAATGAAGTCTCCCAGACCAGTCCTACGTGGAACCGGTCCCTGGCCTGCTCTTCCCGGCTGTTCCTGCTCCTTAACGGTCTACGCACTGCGCCCAACGGACTTTGTGGACTATTCGAAGACGCTTTGATCCTGTTCGTGAATCTCCTCATGTCAATCCATATTATCCATTGTAGCACATTCAAATGTACAATTTGTGTTCTAGCTGGTCAAATCGTGCACAGAACTAAGACATTCGTTACATTGAATAAGTAATTCACCGCACATCCAACTTGCGTGCCTCGTGGGTGCCTCGCCTAAAATTCTTATGATACGTACCTAAAATCGAGCAAACTATGATTGTAAATGTCAAAACCAGCATATTTTTTTTTTTACACATGCCATGCATCACACGAATTGTGACGTGAATGCATCATCAATGCTTCATATTGTGTTGTGTATGCTCTTCGTGCCTAATAAATGTGCACTTTTTATGCTATCGCTTATCACCAGCAGTGACATATTTTGGTCTCTGTTATTTTCTGTAAGAGTGAAGGAAGTAGACCGAAATGAAGTGAACAGGGTGTGAGCATAGCTGTGAATCGGTGTCCGCCTACTAGCATGGTTACTGGCCGTAATGCCCACCATAATGCATGGAACGGGCAGCATTTCACACGTTGGCACGTTTCTTATCACAAACAAGTCCGGAAACGAAATGCAAGATGCGCTTATGTTCGCTAAATCGTCTTTCTCGACATGTTTGCGAGAAGGGCGAGAAGAATAGGCCACAGGACAAAGGTCAATTTGGGTCAGGGTCATGAAAATTTAAGTTAACATGTACAATTGATCAATACGATAGTGTGGCAATTTTCAGCGAGGTCTGCCGCCCTCACGATGGTTATTAATGAAAAACTGAGGGGCTATTTTGACCCCGCCCCCTGCAAGTGCCGGATAGACGCTCTCAAAAGCAGCAGAAATGTATGCTATACGAACGAGTCGAGACTGAATTTGCCCCCCCCCCCCCCCCACAAACACACACACCAACCGTAACCGATACCGTCAGTCTCCGAAACTCCGCTCTGGGCTCAGGCTCACACGGTCCTCGCATACCTACGGGCAGCTGTGCTGCTTGGCTGGAATCCGTTCCGGCCCCTCCTCCCCATTCAGCGGCTGCTGCCAGGCAAACTCTGCAGGTTTTCTCTCCAGAATTATGAGCTACTTCTAGTCAACAAGTCACAAGTAAGTATAAATTGTTTCATTGTCAGCAACAACAAAAAAGACAAAATAAGGCTGCGATAAAGCCTAATATTACGGTCCCACAAAGTGCATGCATCACAAAGCGGTAAAACTGTCAGCTCTAACCCTATGATTCTATTTCTATTCTATCAAACCGGTAACGGCATCTATGGGGAACTCTGTAACCTCGGTTTTTCTGTACGGTTTATTTCAAAAACGTTAAATTTTGCCGTTGTTCGTTGCCCCGGAGGCGTCTAGAAAAGGGCTTTAGAAATTAAAGTAATAAATATAAAGGGCATCAACAACTTCCCTTGCACCTCCTCCATAGTTCTATCAAAAGAGCACAAGAAGATATAATCCCGATAGCGCACAAACTTGTTCCAAACACGGCTGCACCATTATTAGGATTCTCCGCAAAATAGGTCTTCAGGGACCAGAAAATTTTCAGATACCAAAACGGTTTTCTCCCACTTTTTTGCATTCTACAAGAAGATAGATTCATGCTGCTTACTTTAATAGCTCAATAATGCAATTTTCATGGCTTGGTTCAAAATATTATTGAATTTCCTGTTTCTCCGACCGGAGAATAAAAACTGTTTATTTCGTGGTCACTTCTCTTATATTCTCCTTAAAACTATTGCACTTAGCACCCCCAGAACTTAGTTTTTGCCACAAATTTGCTTTATTTACCTTGTGTATCAGTTATAGGCTATGTTGTTGCATATAAATAAGATTTTATGATAATTTGGTCCGTCCATCGAAGTTGACATCGCCATGTTTCTTCTGCTGTGGCGTCAGCTGATCAATCATAGACTGAGCCGGATCGAGCCATGTGGTCGCGGCAGTGCATCAATTGGTGTTGTCTGCTATTAATTGGTTGGATTGTGGTTAATATCTGATTCATGTTTGCCCTTTTTTTTGCCCGGACTCATGGTAAACAGAACATTGATCAGTGCACATGACTGCATAATAATTGAATATTTAAGCAAAGCACAAGATGAAAGCGGTTGGAGTGAGCTGCCCAACTTGTCAGAAGTTTGAGTTATAGTTTCGGTGAGAACCGGCGCGATCGTCAAAATTGAAAGGTAAGTTAAGCACAATAGTTATATCCGGAGTAGGTACCTATGCAGTGTCGGATCTGGGCTGGATGATTAACCCGCGTCCCGTAGGGAGGAACGAAACGCCCCCCTCCCCGTCTTTTTCCGTAGATATCTCCTAAACGGCTGCAGATATCGCCACCAAACTTTCAGGACCCCTCCGGGCATCAATTTTACACATTGTGATCAAAAAATCGTCCAGAGGCTATGATGGGTTGGCCACAAATGGCGTCAGAATGACGTCATGTTCTGCCATTTTCCACAAAAAAGGTTTCGCGAGAAGAACTGTCAGGCCTACAGCTTTCAAGACTCATAAAAAATGTTCATGACATAAAAGGTGAAGAATTAACAGGGCTATAAAACTGCTATCCGATTTTTGAAATTTTTAATTTTAACCCAAAATAAAAAGTAACTTTTGGATACAATAGCCAAAAAATCCCAAAAGCTTTTCAAATTTGGAAAAATTGAATATATATAATAGAACCTACAGTCTTCCAGTATTTATAGTCACCGTGCAGTCTTCTATCCACATACCAAATCTCAGATCGTTGCCTCTTTGTGGCCAGGTTATATCGAGAAAACTGTTCAAAAATGATGACGTCAAATTTTCAAACTCAATTTTTAGCAATTCTAGACCACGTAGCGCAAAACAAAGACCACCAGTAGACTCCCCGTGACGAGCTGCTTCGGATCGATACCAATTTTATGCAAAAATATCAACTTTGAAACTTGACCTTATTTGACCTGACCTTGACCTGACCTTCACCAGAACATAGCCTAAACTGACCCCAAAGGCTGTCTTACCCACATAATCGCATTTGTCATGTAAAATGGACCATAAAACAAGTATCACACGACATTTTCATTTTTCATATTGTGACCCTCAGTGACCTGACCTCTGTGACCTGACCTGGTGTCATTGACGAATGACCTTAGATAGCAAAATATGTGTTTGACGAACAATTATCCACCGATGATTTACAATAACATACCAATTTACTCGATTTCACAACACGTTTCTTGAAATGCCC